TAAATACTTAAACAAAAATTTAAAAAATAAAAATAAATAGATAATATAATAATAAATACAAACAAAATAGGTAAACTAAAAAATATATTGAAATATTTAAAAATACATAAAAATATCCAAATAAATATGAATTTGAAACAAATAAAATAAATACAATTTAAATACATAAATAAAAAAAATAATAATATTAAACTATATAAAAATAAATAAGTGCAAATTAAAAATGCAGACAAATATAAAAATAAATATAAAACACAAATAAAAAATAAACAAAACAATTTAAATGCATATATAATAAATTATATTAAATTATATTAAAATTAATTAAAACAAATAAATAAAAAATAAAATAAAAACATTAAAATATACATTAAAAAATTACAAATAAAAAAATTATTAAATAAATTAATATCTATTTAATTAATTTATTTATTTATTTGGTATACAGTTGTGGTAATGCAGTGTTTTACTGTCCCATTAACATCCGAATCCTCCAAGAGTTATTCAGCATGACTAAGTGGACTAAAGTGGACTTAAACACAGTCAAGTGTGATAAATGCAGTCATGCAACACAGAAAATTAAGAGTTTATCTAATGCATAATCACTTTAAAACAACAAGACGTGGCTTGCTCAACCTGACAGCCTTCTCTAAACTATTAGGTGTGTCTTTTATAACAGAAACACACACACATGCAAACACACACTTCCCTTTCTAACATCAGATGACTAGACATGTATCTGAATAGAAAAATGAAATGTGACCATGCACTGGAAACCTTCTGCACGGGTCTATTTCTGGCATAATCATAGTTTTGCCGACTATAGTTAGACTGTGTGGGGTTTGTCCCTTTGCATGCAGCACATGCCACTTTACGATGACGATATGGTCTCAAACTCTTCCTGTTATTGTCAGGTGAACACGAGCATATTGGCAGGTTTCCACACATTCAAATAGGGCTTGCCTAATATATCGTAAAAATATCGTTATCACGATAATAGCACATGCAATGTAGAAGTACAATGCATTATATTAATTTTATGTGCCAAGTATTTGTGCGTTGCTTGCATAGGTTGCTTATCTAAATCTGACCAATCTTCATCTAGAGCTGAAAATAGAAAAAAAGGGCTCACACCGAACGCATCTTTTCCTCTAAAAATGCTTGACACCGCGGTCAGCAATGAGTTTAATAAAACCACAGCACAGCACGAGGTCCATGTGATGTGATATTATGACCGTGATGTGATAACAACAATAATGGACCCATTACAAATAGAAGATTTAAAAATGATAACTCAGGATGTCTAGACAAAGCCACAATGAGCGTCTCCTCCACCCTGATCTAACGGTAAATATGTCATGCCAACTCTAAACTGAAACTTGCAATGGTTGCCCCGCCTCCACACTCTTCTGATTGGTCGACTGTCTTTGAATCTGACAGTGAACAGGTTTATGTGGACACCAATACTCCAATTTTATCCCCATTAAGACAATACTCTGATTAAGAGTCTATCATTGTGAGTAGAGACTGTTTGAATGATTAATAATTGATATTCAGCCAACTGGAAATTATTTAAGTCACGTTCTCTGATATATTTCACCTACAACAACAATGTGAACTTCTATAAAGACGTGTTTGGACATTAAGCTCTGAGTGCATAACTCTGCAAACACCTGAGGAGATTTCTCTGCATGAAACTCATGATTAACCTGCTGCTGATTCTCCAACAAGGAAGGAAATTAAATCTGAAAGAAATGTGCATGAGGTGTCGAGATGATTGACAGGTCTCGTAACCAAGCAAGATAACGGTCCGTTAATCAGAAAGCGATTCGTCCCAAAGCTTGCAAAGTCTTTTGTTCCACGCTCATAAGTAGGGCCAGATGGAATCTGTGCACGTTTTTTGCTATTTCTGCTGAGAATTTTGGTTCAAATCTGCGGATATCTGCGGAATGATTTTGAGAGTATCAAAACTAAAACCTTAATATGTGAAATAAAAAGTAATATGTTTTTAACTTGTATTTAATGTTTACAATGCAAATCCAATTAGATACGCTTGGTAAAGCAAGTCTCTTATATAATATCTCTACTAACAGACAGAAATATGACTGTACAAACTGCATTGTACAGAAATCAAATAAACATTATCATATTAGTCAATAATATTACTGTAATTAATTTTAAAAACTAAATAAATATAGATTTACACACATTTACTCAAGTAAATAAACTGAATTAATGATGGGCGGAAAATCTGCATAATTCAGCGAGCGCAGATTACGTGTGGGCCAACTTACATGTAAAAAGTCCATACTTATAAGTGTAAAGTCTGATGAATGTATATACAGGGCTTACTTTGTGCCGGTACAAGGCGCATCCGGACCTCATTTTTACCTATCCGCCTCCTCACACGCACCCCTGCCCTGCTCTACACTTTCTTCCGTGGCTCCCAAACCCTCTTCACTTTTGTCCACGAAAACCTCTCCCTCTTCTACTAACATGCCGGATCCCTTACCCTGATCTGTTCCGGGACCTCGCAATTTACAAATTAAGCCCTGTGTGTGTGTGTGTGTCTGTGTGTGTGTATATACTTATATATATATATATATATATATACTTTACACTGTTATACAACTATATATACTTATAATTGCACAATATTAAGGTCATAAGGTAATCTATTGCATTATATATATATATATATATATATATATATATATATATATATATATATATATACATATTAGATTACCATATGACCTTAATATTGTGCAATTATAAGAATATATAGTTTAATAACAGTGTAAAGTATCATGCAACTACAGCTGAAGAGAAGAAATATACTCTATAGTTTTTAGAAGGTATCACAATATGTGTCTAAAGGAAGCAAACAGAAAACACAGTAAATTAAAGGTGTATTATGGGTGTTTTCTTTCCACTTTAAGTAGTGAAAACAGTGATTGTGCCAATGGTTTCTTGTCATAAATGTTCAGGACACACTTGAGGGTTTTACTGTAATGTTTATGACTTTGTGTTGAGTCATAATTTTAACAAAGGCAGCTGACCTGCTTCCCTCACACACTTTATGAGTTAAATCTGGACATAAACTAACACTCTTAAAGGGACAGTTCACCCAAAAATACTCCCCATTTACTCTCAACTGGTTGTAAACCTTTATTTGTTTCTTCTGTTAAACACTAAATATTATATTTTGAGGAAAGCTGAAAAGCTGTCTAGAGAAAGACGAATTCTGTGGAAGTCAATGGGTACAGGTTTGCCAACATTTTTCAAAATATCTTCTTTTGTGTTCAACAGAAGAAAGAAACTCAAAGGGTCAGTAAAGGATGACAATTTTAATTTTAGGGTGAACTATCTCTTTAACTCAGACTCTTCCCTCTTTATAATGTACTTCAGTGTGAAGTGTGGAAGTTATATGTTACATTAAATAATATTTAATTAGTACAGTATATATTATTAAAACTTTTATTCACTCTGAATGTAGCGACTTAAGCGTGAAGAGTGGAATTGTTTTTTAAATACAAGTTGTGCTAAATTTAAAATTTACAGAATTAACATAGTATACAATTACTCTCAATAAGTTCTCTTATATTCACTCTGAAAGTCCGCGAGCGCCAAGTGTGGAACTTATATGATAATAAATAATACAAAATATAATTAATATATTATATAACATAATAAAAACTACCTTATAATCTCTCTAGAAGTACTTGAGAGTGAAGTGAGGAACTTACATTTTTAATACAAGTTATACATTACATTATCGTAGAGTGTACAATTAATAATGCGTATCCAATATTCACTCTGGATTTTTAATACAAGTTATATGATAATAAATAAAACACAATTAATAAAACCTTATATTAATAATTAATAAAATGTGTACATTATCTTAAATTAACAAAAATCTTATATTTACGCTGAAATATATGACATTAAATAATATAATATTTAATTAAAATAGCATAAATCTAACAAAAACAATCTTAAATTCACTCTGAAAGTACTTGAGCACGATATGTGGTACTTCTATGACATTAAATGATATAATATACTTTAAAAATAGTGTATTACGAATACAAACTAATTTATAATCACTCTGAACTTTTAATAGCAGTAATATATGACATTAAATATTATAATATACATTAAATATAGTGTATTATAAATAAAAACTAATTTATAATCACTCTGAACTTTCAATAGCAGTAATATATTATTTTAAATATTTTATTATACATTAAATATAGTGTATTATGAATAAAAACTAATTTATATTCACTCTGAAATTTCAATAGCAAAAGTATATGACATTAAATATAATATACATTAAATATAGTGTATTATGAATAAAAACTAATTTATATTCACTCTGAAATTTCAATAGCAGTAATATTTGAAATTAAATATTATAATATACATTGAATATAGTGTATTATGAATAAAAACTATCTTATATTCACTCTGAAATTTCAATAGCAAAAATATATGACATTAAATATAATATACATTAAATATAGTGTGTTATGAATAAAAACTATCTTATATTCACTCTGAACTTCTAATAGCAGTAATATGACATTAAATATTATAATATACATTAAATATAGTGTATTATGAATAAAAACTAATTTATATTCACTCTGAACTTCCAATAGCAGTAATATATGACATGAAATATTATAATATACATTAAATATAGTGTATTATGAATAAAAACTATCTTATATTCACTCTAAAATTTCAATAGCAATAATTAAATAATATAATATACATTAAATAGAGTGTATAACTAAATTATAATCACTCTGAAAGTACTTGAGCACAAAGTGTGAAAATTATATGATATTAAATAATATGATATATAATTAATATAGAATAAAACATCTTGAAAGTCTCTCTCTGAAAGGTCTTGAGAGTAGTGTGTGTAAGTTTCTCTCCCTGCAGCAGCAGCAGGGGGATAGCAGTGTCCGGCAAACCCTCACCTCCTCTGCGTTCTTCCTCAGCGCCTTCTCGCGCTCGTACTGGGTCACCAGTTGCTCGTTGTCCTCCTTCAGCAGCTCCAGCTCCACCTCGTGCTCTTGGTTCTCTGCGAACACCGAGTCCAGGTTCTCCAGCACGGCCACAACCAGCGGCATCAGCTCCTTCACCACATCCTCGTCGTACCGGCCGATCATGCGCTCGAACTCACGGTAGATGGAGCTCGCCAGGCCGGACACCCGCTCTGACATCATCGCGGAGGAGCCCGGGTCCTCCTGGTACAGCACGCCGTCCTCCAGCTCCATCACTGCGGCTTACAGTCTCCGTCTGAAATTAGAGTAAAGTTGGCTTTATATGTCTTTTTTATTTATTATTTCTTTATTTATATAGCAGGGCGAAGCAGTGGCGCAGTGCTGTCGCCTCACAGCATGAAGGTCGCTGGGTCGAGCCTAGGCTCAGTTGCGTTTCTGTGTGGAGTTTGCATGTTCTCCCGGCACTCGCGTAGGTTTCCTCCGGGTGCTCCGGTTTCCCCCACAGTCCAGGTGAATTGGGTAGGCTAAATTGTCAGTAGTGTATGAGTGTGTGTGTGTGGATGTTTCCCCGAGATGGGTTGCGGCTGGAAGGGCATACGCTGCATAAAAATGTGCTGGATAAGTTGGCGGTTCATTCCGCTGTGGCGACCCCAGATTATTAAAGGGACTAAGCCAACAAGAAAATGAACGGATGAATAATTAAGCAGTATTTGCAAATTGTAAATAGGGAAATCACATTAGCAGCCAATGACCATCCAGTACAACATTGTTTGCAGTCAATTAAATATTGCTGATGTTGTTTTGAAGTCGTGTTTATATGAGATTTCAGACACACTATTAAAAGAAAAAAATACTCAGTATACTCAAAAGTGTGGTAAACAGTATAGATATGTATAATATACAAGTTGTAATAAGTAACGAATATAAAACCAATGTTCAACACAACATTAGCACTATTTTATTGACTGTAAACAATGTTGTATGTTGATAGTCGTTGGCTGCTCAGTTAATATAATTTCTCTATTTGAAATTTGAAAAACTTTCCTGAAATCAAACTATTACGGAGAATCATCTTATGTGCAGCTACGATTATCATCGTACAACATTGTTAACGGTCGATTGAACAGTGCTAATGTTGTTTCAAAGATGCGATTTCACAGCGAATATTGAAAGTAGAGAGGTTAACACAATATATTGACTTTGTTACAAGTTGTGACAGTTCAAAAATGAACGAATGTGCGAATATAAAACCAACTTTACCTCAATCCTTGAGAAGGGTGTCTTGACGGAGCTCCGTCTGTCGCGCTAGCTAACAGTTCACTAATACTGTTTACTTCTGTTCACTACATTCACGGAGAACTTTGAGGAGAACACGCCAACGCGAGCGGAAAGCAGACCTCCTCCGCCACAGAGTTCACTCGTTCCGGTTTTCCAAAACTCTCCGTGGACCGGGATTATCCGGTTAACGATAACCGGCGGTCGTTAAGTAGAGTCCCGTCAGGAGGAGACCGGAGTGAGACTAGTGGAGCTGACCGTCACATGATGACGTCACGCCTGGGGAGGCGCGCGACTACAGTTTGTCGACGCCCACTAAACTTCTGTATGTTTTGGGTTTTTTTGTTTGTTTTGATTGTTTCTCATCTGTTTAAATAACTATTTTGGTTGAAAATTAGGATGTTTTTTCTGTGAAGTAAACATGTACAAACCTGTAGTCATCAACTAGAAGTCCTTATTTGTTGTTCCAAAAACTTGGAAAGGCGACAAGACTTTTGTCACGTAGTGCATTATATATATATATATATATATATATATATATATATATATATATATATATATATATATATATATATATATATATATATATATATATATAATACATATATAAAATATATATATATATATGTACTTTATATATATATATATATATATATATATATATATATATATATATATATATATATATATATATATACATGCATACGAGTTTTAATAACATTTTCATATTTGTTTAATCTTATAAAGGTCTGCAATTCTTTTTTTTATTAAACACAAAATAGAAATATTGTTAATTAATGCTTTTCTTTTCAGAAAATATCCACGATTTTACTTACTGTGATTGAAAATCAGAATTATAACATCAAATATGGACATGTTTTTGTACATAACATTCTTATTTTACTTCTTCAAAATAAGATAAACACATCTGAAAACATGGCACTTAAATACATGTATATATGTTTTTTAATAAGAGAAAATAAACAAAATATATATTTAACCTAACAAAATATTATTTTGATGATAAAACATTGGAATCCTTGTTGAAAAAAATTAATATGACCATATTTAAACATGGCACTTTGTTGTTATTTTAAGCAATAACAGAAAAACAAAATAATAATAAAAATATTATGATTAATATTATTGCATTTACAGCAGTCGCTTTTGCAAGACCTTCAATAAACATGCACGTTTCATAATCCAGCATAAACACACATTTTTCCAGGGTTTTTATTTCTGAAAAATGCACGATAACCTCAAAGAAATGAAATTCAATAAATTAAAGGCCGCTGTGAGTGAATGAACAGACACTGATCTGAAGCTCTCGTCTACGTCACAAGACACGTTTTCATGCGTTTGCTGTCATGCATCAAAGAAACTCTCCCACTGATCTACACACAGCAGCATAACACTCTTCAACAATCACACAACTTAAAAAACACATTCCTCACAGCTCAACAACACCGCACTGTGAATAAAGTTATGGGCAGAGGGTAATATGGCCATATAATAAACACTCCAGCGGTCAGGAGATTCACAACAGGAGGATTTTTCAAACATTTAAAGAAGATTCTTCTGGTCAGCAAGCCAAATTATTTGATCCACAGTACAGGAATTATGGAAAACAGGAATAACAGAAAAAATCTGGAATATTTTTACTATTGAAATTAGTGTTTTCTATTTGAATATATTTAAAAATCTAATTTATCCCTGTGATTTGAAAGCTTTTTTCTGGTCACATGATCCTTCAGAAATTATTCAAAATATGTTTTGCAGCTTAAAAATCATATTATTACTTAATGTTAGCCTTAATAATTAATTAAATGTGACGGTGTTTATTTTATTTAATACACTTTTATTAAATATTTTGGTATTACTAATTTTACTCTATAATAATAATAATAATAATAATTTTTCTTTTTTTATATATGAAGAGAGAGAGAATGTGAACAGAATTATTATTACTGTGAAGAATTTTTCAAAGATTAAATATGATGGTGTTTATTTTATTTAATACATTTATGTTGTGTATTTTGGCATTATTAATTGTACTTTTCATAATAATAAAAAAAATATTATTATTATATTTATTTTCTAAAATGAAAAAGCACTTATTTTATCCAAAATACAGCAAAATTATCAAATATTTTTAACTATTTTTTATTTAAATTTATTTAAAAATCTAATTTATTCCTGTAATTGCAAAGCTGATTTTTTTGCATCATTACTCCAAAAATGTATTTATTATTACTAACTAATTACTAATATTATTATTAACATTATCATTATTATATTATTATTAACATTATTATTATATCAAAATTGTTATTATCGTTAACGTTATTATTATTATTATTATTATTATTAACATTATTATTATTAACATAATATTTTTATTATTATTATTATTATTATAGTATTATTATTATTAACATTAATATTTTTATTATTATTAACATTATTAATAATAATAATAATAATAATAATAATAATAATAATATTGGCAACAGCAGTTGAAAACAGTATAACTGTTTCAGCTTTCTTTGATAGATATAAAGAACAGTGTTTATCTTTAATACATATATTTATTTGACTGTTTTTCATGTACTTTGGATCAAATGAATGCAAACTTGCTGACCAGAAGAGATTTGTTCTTTACAAAAAAATATGACAAATCTTCCTGTTGTTAAACCTTTGACCTGTGGTGTGTGTGTTATAAATGCAGATATAAATAGGTCCGTCAGATGACGTTCAGATGGCTGTTGCTGCTGGATGATGGGCAGAGGGTAAACGGCTGCTGGGTCAGACTCTGCAGCGCCCGCAGCACCACGTCCGGCATGTGGTCTTTGATCATCTTTGGGCTGATCATGACGTTACGAAACGACGCCTCACTGGACCATTCAGCTCGATACCTGACCTGCGAGAAACACGGCCTGTGTGTGTGTGTGTGTGTGTATTGGGAGAGAGAGACAGAGAACAGAATTATTATTATTACAGTGAAGAATTTATGAAAGATTAAAGGTTATAGAAATTGTTTATGTAATTAATTAATATTATGCTGACATTAAGAATATTTTAATGTCAGAAATATGTGTGTGAGAGTGACCTGCGGGAGGGTCCGTCCTCCGTCACGTACAGCACTCGTCCGGGCAGGTAGAGCGGCAGGTGTGTGTTCTGCACAGGTGAGTCGTCTGAGGACAGGCTCTGGTAGCTGCTGGACGGAGCCGCAGACACACACTCTGCTCCCAGCAGCGGCCGGCTCAGCTCCTCCTCACGCCGGCTCTCCAGCTCCGTCGGGGAGTCATCCGGAGATCCTCCGAACACCTCGTACCAGCAGCCCTGCAGCAGGATCTGATACTGACACACACACAAAAACACACACACAATAATCACTCACAGACCATCATTTACAGCTCTTTTACACCAAGTGCTATAGTATAGGTAAAGCATAGTCTCATTCGGTATGTGTAACCATTGAATGGGGAAAAGTATGGTTGTTGTAGTGAAGAAAGCCCCGCCTTCATGTACAGGAGCCAATCATCGATCAATAAAGCCTCTAGGGGGAGGGGCTTGGTTCAGACATGTGTTTTTCTGACAGCTTCATTGTTATAAATTTGCAATCAGCATCACATAAAAGGGATAGATCACCAAAAAAAGCAATTGATTACATTTATTTTTTGTTTTTTTAAGAGTTATTATATATGCTTTTTTTAGGTTATTTAAACTTTTTTTTAAGATTGCTGCTTATTTAATATTGTTTTAAATTATTTGAATTCTTATTTTGTGCTTTTAATTTTGTTTAATATATTGAATTAAATATATTTATTAATTTAAATGTTAAATATTTTATAAATATTAATATGTTTATAATATTAAGTATAAATATTTTTATTTATTAATTTAGTTTTCTTATTGAGCCTGTTTTCATTATAAAATTATTAATCTTTAAAAACGTTTTATTATTTATTATTTTTAGTATTTTTTATTTTTATTTTTGTCTTTAATTTGAAAAGTATTGTGTTTTAACACATATAATTTTTAAATTCAAGTGTTATTTTTTTAAACAAAACAACAACAAAATTCTAGGCAGCACAGTGGGTTGCTGCTTGACATTTCTGTGTGGAGTTTGCATGTTCTCCTCGTGTTGGCGAGGGTTTCCTCGGGGTGCTCCGGTTTCCCCCACAGTCCAAACACATGCGCTATAGGGGAATTAATCAACTAAATTGGCCATAGTGTATGAGTGTGAATGAGTGTGTATGGGTGTTTCCCAGAGTTGGGTTGCAGCTAAAAAGGCATCCGCTGTGTAAAACATACGCTGGATAAGTTGGTGGTTCATTCCGCTGTGGTGACCCCTGATAAATAACGAGACTAAGCCCAAAAGAAAATGAATGAATGAATAAAAAATTAGATTTGACTCAAATGTAAAGAATTAGTAGTTTAATTTCTATTGTCGATGCATTGAGATTTATGTGGAATTTAAGTTACTTATTTTTTGTGTTTTTAAGGGTTATTATACATGTTTTTTTAGGTTATTTAAACCGTTTTCTTTTTAAGATTGCTGCTTATTTAATATTATTTAAAATTATTTGAATTCTCATTTTGTGCTTTTAATTTTGTTTAATATATTGAACTAAATATATTTATTAATTTAAATATTAAATATTTTATAAATATTAATATTTTTATAGTATTAATAAATTAAATAAATAATAAATTACTTAATGAGTAAATGAGTAACTATTTAGACAAAGTAATTAGAAAAGAAATTTAAATACAACTTTACTGAAGCTAATATTAATTAATACATTGTTTTAAAGTAACCTACTCAACACTGTCAAACTACACTACCTGACAAAAGCCTATTCAAATTTTAGAAATAACAAATAATAACTGGACTTCTAGTTGGTGATTTGGTGTCAGAAGTGTCTCTATGAAAGGTGAAGGCCTCTAGATTTTGAGCTCAATTAAATCTGATCATGTCTTGATGTTGACTGATTTGATGAGGACAGTGCGGTCTGACTCTGCTCAGACTAAAGTCTCATCACTGAACAGAAATAATGTCCAGTATAGAATATAAAGTCCTGCTGCAGTGGAGACAGAATGAATATTGTGTCTGACTCCATCATGAGCTTGGAGGACTGCATCCATACATCTCTGACATGACTCAAATCACTGATTAATAAAGTCATCTGGAATGAAGAAGACTTCCAGAGTTCATCAAGACTCAGTGTTCATCTTCAACACCTCCTCCTTCATCAGCTCAATAATGTTCATGTCTGGTGACTGGGCTGGCCAATCCTTGACCTTCTCTGCTTTCAGTAGTTTTGATGTGGAGGCTGAAGTATGAGGAGCGCTATCCTGCTGGAGAATTGTCCCTCTCCTGTGGTTTGTAATGTAATGGGCAGCACAGATGTCTTGATACCTCAGGCTGTTGATGTTGCAGATCTCTCGCCCCATACTGAATGAACCCCAAACCATGACTTCTCCTTCACCAAACTTGACTGATTTCTGTGAGAATCTTGCTCCATGCTGGTTCCAGTAGGTCTTCTGTAGTGTTGGTGATGATTGGGATCAGCAGATGATTCAGCAGAGAAATCCACCTTCTGACACTTTCACACATCATCAACTAGTAGTCGAGTTATTATCTGTTGCTCTTACAACTACAACAAGACTTGTGTCAGGTGGTGCACCGCTCAGCAGAAGAGTCTTCACACACACAGAACACTCTTACCTTTGGCTTGCTGCAGTTAGACACCATTTTTAATAATCGTCTTTTCAAGTCCTCCATGTTTGGAATACTCAGCCTAGAGAAACAAGAGCAGCTTGAGGAAGTGAAAGCAGACCACACTACACAAACAGAAGTGAGAGAACTGCTCTGGAGTCAGAAACAGACGTTATAAATATAGGCGCAGGTTTGCACACAGCGGTGAAGTTACTGAGAGCTCTGCTGGACTGAAGATGTGTGTGAACCTCACCTGGGCACCAGATCCTTCCCCAGAATGACAGACACCACAAACTGCTTGGAGAAATCCGCCAGCGCCTTACTGAGGAGAACACACACACATACAGTGTCATGATGGTCGCGTGTGTGTGTGAGAAAGTGTATGTGTACATGTTTAAGTGACATATCACAACAAAAATGTGCTTTAATATGGGTTTTAGTGTGTGTGTGTGCATGTGTGTGTGTTTGTGTGT